AAGCACCGAGAAAGACGCAAAACTCCAAAAACCGCGGCAAGCACAGGCAAATGCACAACCTGGATGTCAACAGAAACAAGCACACCCAAATAAAAGGAAATGCCTGAAATCCGATCCAGTGCGTTTGTTCTCTGGACAATTCATTAGACCAGAATGAGTCCCAGCACGGGAGGTCCATTCTTCCTGCTGTTTAAGGTGTGGACTCTTGTCAGCTACTTGACACTGTCGCAGGCATCTCAGACTTTGCAACTCGCCCAGGGTTCTGTCCTCTATCGCATCGTGTTGCAAGCTCCATTTTGCCTGGGAACCGATTGTTTGTTGAGGGTCTTTGGTGCATTCAAACCATTCACTGCCATTCAAATTGTATTTTGCTTGGCTCTCTCGGCTTTCTCGGTGAGCTATGTACTCTGTTGTGATTTGTTTTCTTTAGGCTCGGTGGGCATCATAGGCACAAGAAGGCCCGTCCATGGAAGCAGCTCGAGCCCGAACCTGCAATTTGAAGTGATGCTCGGGAAACATGGCGCCAGTATCAATTTGAGAAAAGAGCATATAATACATGCATAATACATAGATATGACATGATATAAATATACATACATATACATACATATATATATACATATTAATGTAGTGTAATGTAATGTAATGTTATGTTATGTAATGTAATTAAGGTAATGTAATGCAATGAAATGCAATGCAATGCAATGTAATGTATGTTTATAGGCATTGGGCAGGTTGAGATCGTGAGCTTGGATGTGCCATATTGACGTAACATCCATGTGGTCCAGAGATGCCTTGGATCTTTCTCAGGTTCCTGAGCCCCTATGCGGAGACAGTTCCCAATCGCCCAACAGCACACTCCAACTACCGCAAAGACAACCAACTATAAAAATTGTCACTGAGAAGAAAAATTGTCACGGAGACCAAGACCCATAGAACAACAAGCTGAATCCAAGAAAAAGTGACGCTGAACAATTGAATCATTATTTTTGAACCACTACATACATGTGTGTACATATGTGTCACGTACATATGTGTGTACATATGTGTGTACATATGTGTGTACATATGTGTGTACATATGTGTGTACATATGTGTGTACATATGTATTATATATACATACATATATAATCATGTATATATATTATATATATATATGTATAATCAAGAAAGATCAATAATGTTCATATTTGTGATGTTTGACACTATATAGGATGTATAGATTTATGATCTAATTAATTGCTTTGATTTCAAGATTTCTTTAGGTTTTCTTAGTGCGTTTTCTTGTAGAGACACAGCCCGAGGCTAAGGGGCGTGCCTTGCGCACTGAGGCGATTGCATCGAGCGGCAAGCATCGCAAACAGGCAACGAATTTCACAGGAAATAGGTATTGAGTCACTTTGAGTCGATGTCGAACTTCAAATTTCACAACTTCAGGATGAACTTCAGTCTGAACCACACAAAATTGATGGAAATTGCATGTGAAGTTCACATGCACCAAAGCAAGTGTGCTGAGTGCACGGGGAAATTCCGCGCAATACGGTGTTGGAAAGAAGAACCGTTGTTTTTTTCCGTCCAAATTGACAAGTTGTGCAAAGTGCTGCATACAGACAACAAACAAACATAGTTGTCTGTCCTGTGCATCCTCTCAAAGACTAGGTACACTTGTGGATGAATCTCTAGGCTGTTGTTGCTAGCTTATTTGGTGCTTGTGCACCAGAATGAAAGGTGGTCCTGCAAATCCATTGTGATGTGAGAAAGATGCAAAGCACATGAAAGTATGTGAAAGGACATGGCAGTGTGTCAAAACCTTGTACCCCTGGTGAACATCAAAATAGCTGGTAAATGGATGTTCATCCCACTAAAAATGGTATTAATAGGTATTGATCCATACCCACATGAAAGCACATGATTTTGTACATCAAAGGACTCAAAAGGGCATGAAGGCGCATACAGAAGACAGTTTCCGGAGCAACCCTTTGCAGAGGTTTGGCTGGTGGTCTTGGGCAGAACCAGAGGCTGCGCAACAAGATCGTATAATTGACAGGGGGAAGAGTGAGAAGAACTTTGAGAGTAATAGTCAGAATAAGACACAGAAAAAAAATAGAATGCAGTTAGAATAGCTGAATAGCTGAGCTTTGATCAGCTTCGATCAGCTTCGGGGAAGTCACACTATGCAACAGATCCCGGCCATTCATGCTATGTAGCATGCATGCAGATGAAGGCAACTGCATCGCAAGCGCATCGAGATCACCTGGGCAAGCATGAAATAGGGCTCCCGTGAGCACAACCTTTGGATGGTCTTCCAGGTTTTGTCTTGAGCCGTTGCGGAGAGTGAACGTCAAGCCACAAGTCTCCACGTCAGTCGTCCCGACATTCTCCTCACAAGCATATCACAAGTTGGTCGTGAGATATCACCACAAGCATATGATGTCATCAGTATCACACTTCGTTTACACGCTCCGCAAGAATTTTGCAGCATCAATGCTCATGAGTTCTTTGTCCAGATGTGATTGGACGATGCCACTACAGCGGCTCGACCAATCCATGACTGCAATGGGGAATCGATTCCCAATGCCAAAGGCAGAGGGAAGAGTGCCCCCCGCTGCGGTTTGCAAGATTTATATAGAGATCTAATATGATCTAATGCAATCTTTTTGATGAGCGATGCGCAAAGTCCAATTCATGCGCCGAATTCAGCGCATCCTGGGCATGCTCCTGGCAAAGGCGGGCAGACGCTTTGACACGTTGAAACAGCTTGCGACGGTTGCGAACCATGGATAAAACATCCAGAAATTCATGTGACGTGAGCGTGTGACACGTGTGACACGTTGTTTCATGGGGTCGGGAAGGATGGAGCAATGTAGCTGCTTGATTTGAAGTGTACGTTCGCCAATGGGCACTGCAAAGACCAAACTCAAACAGAGACATTCTTGCCGTTCACAAAACTCCAAGAGCTCCAAGCATCCGCCGGAAACATTACAACAGCTGAGCTAAAAAACTTCAATTGTTCCGCCTAACAGCACAATCATTTCCAGATGCCAGCAACAAAGTAACATTACAACAAGAACATACATTTAAAAACATATATGCAGGAATATTTGGATTCTTACACATATGCGAGTGCAACATGCAAAACATTTGACATTCTTCTTTCGTTCCAGATGGAGTTGCACCGGCCAGAGAGCGGGAATGACATAGTGGCGAGGCGTGGCGTGTTGCAACGAAAGTCGAATGTTTTTTTTCGAACAGCCTTCACGGCCTTCACAGTCCCAAACTGAGGATGATTTCCCTGCAATGCCGTCTGGTTGGACATGAGAGCGTCAGATCCACAGCACTTTTGCCAAAACTGCATTGCAGTCAACTCAGAGTTCAGTGCGTCTGCCGCTCATCCACAGAATCCTTTGAACTTGGCTGAGGAGCTAAGCTTGCAGTCTTAACATGTTTTAACAATGATACTTCTCATTCGCTAGTTGTGGGATATTTTGGGAAGATATCGGTCAGACAGCGTCCCAAAGGATGAGACACTTCAACGCGATCTTTGCTGGGCAAAATCCGAAGCCTTGAGGCCCGGAATTTGGAAGCGTTTTGAGACGTCAACCGAACAGGTTGACACTGCACCGATAGGCAGTACCCTCTGGTTATGTCAAAATAGCTATTGAAAATGGCCATAGAAATAGTGGATTTACCCATTAAAAATGGTGATTTTCCATAGTTATGTTAGTTTACCAGAGGGTAACAACAGGCAACAACATGCAACAACTAGACAGGAAGCTGTCAACTCTGATTCTGTGTGATACATGCACGGTGCATGTATCATCATAAAAATCCCTCCGGGGCGGACGTTCGCCCAAAGTTTCGTTGGGCTTTAGTTTCTCTGGAGTTAGTTTAGGCTTTATTTGAGGTTGTAGGATTTACTTAGGGTTGGCTTAATTGTTATTTATTAAGGTTGGTGGTGGGTTTATTAAGGGTTTGTTTGGTTATCATGTTAAGTGCATTTAAGTGCTATTTAGGGTTGGTTGTGGATTTGTTTGGTGTTTTTGGGGTTCATTTAGGGTTGGGTTATTTTGGGGTTCTTTTAAGATTTTACAGTTTGTCAAGGTTTTAGCTAGCAGCTTGAAACAAATTACAAAGAACATGTTTAGGACATGGTTCGAACCGTGATTTTGGCACCATCCTAGTAAATCGCAAACATGCAATGAGACGAAGGTCATATCGATGCTTTGAGTGCTTGCAGTTTGCGAAAAACACACGCCGAAACTGGCCACAGCAGATTGCAGTCCAGCATGGAATTTTTAGTGGATTTTGGGCAAACGTCAGCCCCCCAATGAATATTCATTTGATCTAAAGATGAAACATTAACAACCTGTGAACTGGCCAACTGGCCAATTCCCACAACGCTACGGGCAGGGATACCTCCAGGGTTCTTACTTGGTGCAGCGTCCACCTGGCTGCTCGCCTACCAGTGCTGTGTATGTCTCTGCGGTGATGATAAGTGGCTTTGTTTCGGTTTAGACTCTCAAACAAAAGGCCTCGCGCGTATCTTACGTTAGATGGTCTCAGCATGTCTCAGCACTATAACTCTTTCCCATGATTGTAAAATGATGAGACCGGCATTGAGATCATTGAGAATGTTGCAGGCACGTCAAAGACGAGAAGGTGGATGCGATTTGTAAGCTCGCTGATCTTTGTATGCGGAAAGCCGTGGCCTTTGTTCCGAAGAACTGAACTGAGCCAAGTCACACGAGTCACACAGTCTCTTTCGGAGCCAAGAGCTGACAAAGAGGGGCACGTTCGGACACGCAACAACATTCACGTGCAATCCTTCGGCTCGAGTGTTTAACACAGAATGGACATGTTAAACCCAATGAGACCATGTCACACATTACTTTTCTATTGACCATCTCTTTTGGCACTATTTGGCACTTTTCCTGCCAAGAATTTGAAACTGTTGCTGTGTTTCATATTGGTCGCAGACTTTTTGACTGACTCAATCCGACATGGAAGTCATGGAGCCGGACGCAAAGCGCCGCCGAATCCAGGGCAAGAAGCAAAGTACTCTCTTTGCATTTGCTCGACGGCCAGCCACACCACTGGCTGCAGATGAGCAATGGAAAATTGCGAGTTTCAGAACGGAATGGGTTCCAAAAGTAGGTGAAGACTGGTGCAACGCATTGCTGCCTGTTCTAAGGACAGTTCTTGTATGTTCTTGTAATGATGGAACATGATGGAAAGCAACAAACCCATGGACTATTTTTTGGGGATGCCACCTTCATGCATGTCCATCGAAAGCTACAAGTATCAGATAGTATTAGTCCTGTCCAGATGTCTACAAGATGCGTTTTGAAGTGTTGAGTCTTTCTCAATCAGGACACCATCAGTGCAGAAGACCATCGAGCAGGTCGAGGAGATGCGCAAGGTGAAACGTATCTTTCCTCCTGTAGAAGATGTTTTCAAGGCCTTTCGCGCCACTCCTCTGGAGAAAGTGAGGGTCGTGATTGTTGGACAGGAGCCCTGGTGGCTTTTAGAGCTGTTGATGAAACGAGTGGATGGTTGTATTTGGGACAAGAATGAATGTATTTTTGAGGTGGCCACTTGATGCAGCAACTTCTAGCCGAATGCTGACAACAAAGGACTTGCACGAGAGAGAGAGAGAGAGAGACAGAGAGAGAGAGAGAGAGCAACGAATGCAGGAACACAAGGACAATGAAATGTAGCCGTCTGACCACAGTATATTGAGGAAATCGATAATTTGAGCAAATACCTCTCATCATCGCAACCACAATCGGAATCGCTATCGCCATCACCACCTCGATCACCGTCACCCAGCACCAGCACCAGCACCAGCACCAGCGCCAGCAGCACCACCAGCACCAGCACCAGCACCACCACTACCTGTACAAAGCACTTTTTTGAGATGTTTTGGACATGTTGGCAGTCTTGAATGGAAGAGCGGTTGAAGTTGATTCGTTCGTCATTTGTGTGAGTTGCATGCAGCTACTTGATTTGATCTGAGGATCCATATCATGGCTGTGGCCAAGCAAATGGATTGGCATTTTCTGTGGCGCCAAATGTTGCAGTCCCACCCAGTCTCATCAACATGTTAAAGGAAGCCAATGCCTTGCCCACAACTCACGGAAATCTTACACATTGGACAGAACAGGGAGTCTTGCTGTTGAACTCCGTCTTGACAGTGGTGGAAGGCCAGCCAAACAGTCACAAAAGTCTTGGATGGGAACGACTGACGGATGCAGCAATTCGAGCTGTCAGCAAAGACCTTCAAAATGTGATTTTCCTTCTATGGGGGAGAGATGCGCAAGCAAAGGCCCACTTGGTGGATAGAGAGCGCCATGTGGTTCTGACGGCGGGTCATCCATCTCCGCTTTCTTATGAACGCCACTTCAAAGGGTGTGGCCACTTTCAGAAAGTGAACCAATTGCTGTCATCCAGAGGTGAGAAGGAGATCGTGTGGAGCTTGCCATGATCAGAGATTGTTCATGATTGTTCTTTGGGTTATGACCGTTGTAGGGTTGAAACAACAATTCAAGGTCGGGGCTAGACTAAAGGGTTGCAGAGACACCCCCGGGCGATGAAACATAGCAGACGAGTGCAGCGCTGGAGGGTTGAAAAGCATCCATGCTAGAGCTAGAGTTTATATGAGTTTTCTCTTTTCCGACACCCAAAACCCGTTCGACACCTTCCTTATTCATAGATTCTTTCGAAGCACATCCACAATGGCCTAGATTTGGTCTAAGCAGCTGTGATTGGGAACCTCTTTTGGACTTGCCACGAGAACAGTTCCATCATGACTGATCCTTGGGTGTGATGTGCTAGGTGCAAAGTTTGGCAAAGCGATTGAGTACGTTTTGCATCGTTTTCCTACACCTAGTCCTGCCTAAATCAGATCTCAGTTTGCATCGCCATTGAGCTTGAGGTCTCTTTGGAGCGGCATGCGGACCGCAAGCAGCCACTCGTGTTCATGCGCCCGAGAGCCATCTCTGACCATGCCATGTGACAGTCATGGGCAATGCCGTTTGCAAGTCTGTCTTGTTTGGTGAGGTACAACTGCACCATTGGCCTTCCAGCATACTATTCGCGCCGGCTCGACCAGGTCTCCTTTTCTCTCATGTGGCATTCAAAGCATACTCCATCGAAAAGAAATTGTGTTCAAATTGATTCAAATCTATGAAGAAATCTATGAAGTGCATGAAGTGCTTATGAAGTGCATGACAGGAGTCCAAAGACTTTTGCAATAATGTTTTAAAACCGTTACTCCAAACTGTTGGCGCCTCAGATTCTCCTTGAAGACGTCGTGAAGTTCCAGCATTCGGTGTCAGAACAGATTGCTGTTTGGAGCTGTGACATCCCAGGATGAATTTGCTGATGCCGTTTGGAAGGTCCTGATATGTTCTGATTTGTTTTATTGGTTTTCTGCTCTGTCACAAGGCTCTTAATGATAGATATCATTGCAAGCGCTGAGTTGGGCCAAATGAACATACGATAATACGAGCCAGGTTTGTTCTCGCATCGCATGGCTTGAGCAGAATACCCGTGATTGGGATGGAGCCAGATGCTGAGCTTTCCTTTGTGCAGGATTACAGTGGTATGTGCATGCACGCGCACATGCACACACACTCTATGTGAGTGTATTTATGTATCTATAAAAGATACTATATTTTCGTAGGTCAAGTTTGAGGGGTTCTACATCATGCAAGCAAACGACTAATTAAGTTAGTGAGTTGACATTGGATTGATTGGGGCCAAGTCCTTCAAGTTTCAACCACCCGTGATGTTCGTTAATTGTCACTGGTCTTGACCAGTTGAATCCTTTTCGCTACTTTTGCCCAACAATCCTGTGTCGCATGCTATGGAGAGTTGGGTTCTGGCAAGGTGAACGCAAAATGCACGTACGTAGCATCTCGTACAATCAAGGGAAGGGTGATGGTAAAAGTATAGCTAAATTTTACGTGTTTGATGTCGCAAAATGATCAGACTTCCTCAGTTTTCCACAGAGACGAGAAACTCAAAATCAGGCACAGGCAGCACATATCACGGGAGCTGCGCAAGGCTACCAGGCACGCTTCGATTTCTTCTTGGCCACTGGAAGTATTTTTCTGCTGATGAAGGACGAAGTTTTGTGATGGACATGCCTTTGCTTCTGGTAGTGTAGGAAAGTATGGCCGCAGACACGCTCTCAGCCCTCAGCTTTCTCAGCTTTCTCAGCTTCCTCAGCTTCCAGTTTGTTCACATCACAAACCGACTAGGAAACCTTGAGATTCAGCACTCAGGATGCTAGTATTGTGGCTGAGAACGTCAGCCGCATGGGCCGGCAGCACAATCCAAAGAATCCAAAGAAAAGCAGCCGAAGAGTTTCAGAGAACGATGCAGCGATGCAGCTTTTCAGCCATGTGCTCTGAGGCTTCAACTTCTATGGATGAAAGTGCGGAATTTGCGTTCAAAAGTCATGATGCAGACATGATGCAGACATGATGCAGACATGATGCAGACATGATGCAGAAAGATGTAGAGAAGAACTTTGAAAGCAAACGAGAACAGGATATTTGGATTGGATGTCTACATCCCATTTCTTACACCTCTATTGGATTCTAGTGGTATTTAGACCCATGCCTCCATCCAAATTCTTTGAGTTTTACCACGCTGGCTGGTTCGTGCACGGTGCAACTACATGGCAGGATTAAACCAAAAATCGATGAACACACGTGACATACTAAGACAAAAGCATTGCAAGACGGAGATATATAGACGATGCAACTTGTTTGCTGCCCACTCAGTGATTCAAAGTGACACTTTCAAAGGAAGTCAATCACCACCGTGGGGGTCTTTCACCCCTTTTTTTTGGTGAAACACACGAATTCCATACGAATTCCATAGCGGTTCATAGATCCTATGAATATCCAACCAGAACATTGGTTAACCCACTAAAAACCTATGGTTAAATCCCCATGATCCCTCTTATTCCAAACCTTCATGCGAGCAGTGCTATGGGAAAGAAACGTGCCGCTGTTGCTCCTGGACTTTCCCGAGCAGCTCAGGACGTCAGCCAGGCTTGAAAGATCTTGCAGGATCTTGCAGGAATTGCCCAGAAATCCTGTTGAAGGAAGAAACATCACGTGCTTTTTGGATTCAACAGATGCCAAAAGTGTTTTTGATGGCAGTTTCACGCAGTTTCATTGTTTGCAGCTCATGAGTTTTTGCACAAGGCCAGCACTGCGGAACTGGAGGCGATTGTGTTCGGTGGCGCGAACTTTGAGGAAGGCACAGCTGTGAGCCGACTGCGAAGCCGAGCCTGAGACATTCCAAACATTTCCAAACCAAAAAAATCTGACGTGCCAGCACTTACACCCAATGCCAGCACAATGAAAGGTGCTGTCGTGGAAGAAAACTCTGATCCCAACGAGGAGTGAAAAAGTACGTGTTGGACATCTGTGCACGACATGACGTACTGTCAGCATATGTGGCCTACCAAACCGGGTATAGTCTCACAGTAATTATAGTTATTTGATGTTATAATACTATAACTATAACATACATATAGTACTATAGTTATCATATAGTTATATGATCTATATGTGTATACACAGCATATGGCTTTGTCTGAATGTGGCACCCTGAAATCCTATTTTGCTGATCAAAATTCCCTACAACTCCCCATAGGAGCCCCGTACGTGAATGTTTTTCTTTGAGTATCCCTAGCCTTATCGCCCATTCTCAGACAAACGCAGGTGTGTCTTAAATTTATGATTTTGTTTACAGAAATTTTTGTATGTGTGAAGGAGGTAGATGCTCCGGCAAAAGAGAAGACGGCAGCCGCTTTGCGTATCTTGTGGCCCGTTGTTTCAAGAACCAGTTTGGAGATTAACAAAAAGGAAGGTGATGAGGACCGACAAGGGCAGAAACCCGACTCCCGAATGGTGCGTAAGCCGGGGAATTTGCCGAAGACGGACAGATGACAAGTTAAGGGTAGGGAGAAGACGAGGACAAGGAAGGGAACACTGCAATTTATTCTGGAAACTTCAATGTGCGTCTTCACTCTTTTGAAGCATTTAAGGCTTGGGTGGACCCAGATGATGCAAATCTTGAAGTTCCTTTGGTATGGACGCTCAGTCTCAGCGTTCCTCGGCTTCTCGGCTTTGTTCGAGACGCCTTCTCATTCCTTCGCCCAGGTGGGTGGAAGGCATAAGAAGAGAATAAGAGGAGAAGCGGAGAAACACGTCACCGGGGATGAGCTTGATGCTTGGGTTAAGCAAGGAGCGAGTATTGTGCTCTCACACGACTTGATATAGTCAGAAGTGTATGGAACTCCAGAAGATTTGCTGTTTCGTCATGTTGAGGTATGAAAGGATTCTACGGCAAAGGTTCACAAAGCTCAACGGTGTGGCGCCGCTGACCCAGCACAGCCAGCTCGATGCTGCAACGGATTTTCAGTTCGTCGATCGAACTGTGGGATGGACGCCCAGAAGTTAGCTTCCTAAGGTGTTGGACTGACATGGAGCCTCTTGCCAAGGCTCTCGATGTTGGTTTTTGGTGGAATGTTTGTGCAGATTTTCCCTGCTTTGTTGATGGAGATAGCACATTTGAGAGTCTTGAACAAAGTTTTGGGCGAGGAACTTTCAGATTCCGACAATGAGGGCTTTGAAGCTATGGTAGCTTGGACTTCGATTGCCTCAGAGAGGAAGGTACGTAGTTACCATATTCGCCCTTCATTTCAGCTGCGTACAATTTTCAGTTTGGGTCAACAGTGGGAGAGCAGACTTTGCAGGCAGCCGTTTTGGGCCTGGATTGTTTGGAGATGTAAAAACCAAGTTGCTCCTCTTACCCCATCTTCAACTCATAGGTGCTAAGTCTTAAAGGTTTTGGAGCCGCTTGAGGCAGCGGATTTGCAGGAGGTTTCTAAGGTTCCTAAGGTTCCCCTGAGCTTTGAAGGCTCTGGAGCCAGATTCTCAAGGTCTTTGGTATTACAGTGTGTACCAAGAGCAATGCCTCCCGGAAGTTATAGAAATGTCGATGCCATATGACTATGGATCAATACCTATTAATACTATTTTTAGTGGGATGAACATCCATAAATCCCAGCTATTTTGATGTTCACTACAGGGGTACTATTGGTTTTGACACACTGCCATATTCAAAAACGATGTCAAAAACTATGACCTCTGCAAGCTCTTCGGGCTGCTTGAAATCAGTCATCGGACCCGCCAGAGACAGAACATATTTCTTCCGGAGGCAATGCGTTAGACAAGGAACCGTTTACGTACATTCACAGATACGCAGGCACAAACAGGACGCGACACACATACGCATATATATTTTTTTTGGCACATGCTCACGGATCCCTTTCGGTGCGGCACGCATACGAATTCCCACCGGCAGAAGCTAATGTGCAAAGTCCTGTCCGATGGTTTGGCCATATACTTTGACGTCCATGGCCTTGCATTGCTGTACAAATTGTTCACTGAGTTGCACCGTTGCATCGAAAGGGCAAGCTGACAGTGAACGGCAAAATTGGATGGCAAGAGCTCGGCTCATTGCCGGCGGGTACTCTTTGAGCACCCCTGTCTTCCAAAAGCCCTCGGCATCTTTGCCGATGGCCGATCTGCGCGGCAGGTCAGCACAGAGATGGTGTCTTCGCAGCTCGCTCATAAGGCCGTCCATGTTGAGGACTAGGAGACGCGTCGGTTTCGGCGAAGGTGCTCCTAGAAGGCCCTGACTGAAGCTGAAGGACTGCACGCCCGGCATTTGATGGAGCCAATTCATCACATCCAGACGCCAAATAGATGGCATGTGCTCATCATCCGGCATTTCCGGGTGCTCCAGCACTCCCAGGGCGCCCACAATCGCCAAACGAAACAACATCTCCAGCGAGAAGCATAAAAGATGGTTGCCCACGGTCACCTGCGCAAGTTCACGTAGGCTGAGTGACGAAAGGCCCCACAACTCCTGAGCAGATCGGACAGGTCTGGGTCCATGGGCTTGGTGAGCTGGGTTGGCAAAACGCGCCTTGCTCCATGTCTCACATGGTGGACCACAAAGGAATGCTGCAACCTCACCACTCGAAGCATGGGAGAACCAAAACTGCTGTGTCTGCTCCGAAGTAACGTCTCCATGGATGCGGTCGACCACGATGTCGAGTGAGACGACAGTGAGGTGCACTCCCTCAGAGAATCGGTCAAAGATCTCCTCCATGTAAAATTGAAGGTCCCCTCGTCGTCGCCTCCCACTGAAGGCATGTAAAACAATCTGGTGTCTGCCACATGGACGGGGAATCCTTTGACCCTCAACCTCAGGGCAATTGATCAAGCCAGTCGCACACTCCTTCTCAAGGTCTTCCAAAGATGGCGTAGACAAACTGGAGGGAGTGCAAGGTCTTGTCAAAAAAGGCCACGTCTCCCGCATAGACAAAGCACGAATGGTCGCAATCACATGTTCTTTAGGAAGTAGATCCCATCCATGTGGTTCATCCTGGACTGTCTGTAAAAGTTCACCAAGAGTGACCTTGCAATAGGTCCAGGCAATCTCATGCTGAAGAATTAACTGTTTCAAGCGACTCATCAGGTTCACCGCTTCAGTCTGCTGTTGGGCATCAAGAATAGCCAGCGCCAGTTCATCGTGTAGATCCCAATCGACCCGCGAGAGGTCTAATCCACCACGTTGAGGCTTCAGCGGGCCACTCGCCTGTAAGGGCGGTAGCTTGCCGTCCATGCATTGATGCCTCGCCACATCTTCCTTGGAACCAATGCCAGGAAGTGCGTGTCCTCGTAGGCGATGTTGTAGGAGGTAGGCTCGGCACTCTTCGCTTCGAAGAAGATGAGCTTGAATCTGGCCCACCGTGTGATACTCCCTGAGACACGCCATGCATTGCGTCCCTGAGATGTAGTAACGGATCGGGTTGACTTTGTTGTGTGCTCGACACATGTGAGCTCCCTCTCCGCCCTTGGTTTTCAAGCGAATCTGGCAATGCATGCATCCAAAACAACGATCGCAATCATCTTCTGGAGCACATACAATAGGCGAGGACCAAAATCCATATCCCACAAGAAGGTCACGAATCTTCATGTGAAATCGGATGCATTGAAACTTCAGGGCATGTTGTTGGATAGCATGTTTTTCGGTTCGTCGAAGCAAACTTCTCCAATAACTGCGGTGCCAGACCAAAATTTCAAACCAACGGCTCATGTGCAGCGCCGGGTCACCCAATTTGCAGGTGTTGGACAGGTTGCGCCATAGCCATGCGAAATCGTCTTCCACCAACTGTTTCCAGTTGCAATCCTTGTTGAGCAGGCCCCAGCAGGCTGTAGTGCCAATGCTACAAAGAGATCCAATGTATCGAAGTCGAGCCAGACGTAGAAGAACCGTGGGCGATGGCATACCCAAACGGAAAAGTACCTCATCATCTGATATGGCTTCCTCATGGGCGCATCCCAGCAGCCGTCTGTAGAGCTTCATGATGGCGACATGTGCACGGTGCTTGGTGAGGAGATCGTGCAAGACCCAAGAGTCAGACCCGTAAAGGAGGCGACTCAGTATCAAGCTTCTGAAGATCTCCATGCGCTTGCCCAGAGATAGCGCACGGTTTTGGTAAATCAGCTTGCGATGCTTGCTGAAAGCCTGATGCGCCAAAGCAACTCTTCTGCTCAGTTCCAGTCGAACTTCTCCAGAATGGTGCAAGACTCCTCCCAAGTGCACATACTTGGTCACGAGATGGATGTGATAGGGTCCATATTCGCCAACTGCCGTGAAATGCTCGTTGGATAGTGGCCCAAACATCTCTTTGCGCCACTCCCTTGTCCCATGTCCTTTCGGACTAATCATGAGCTCCGTTTTCCCAGGGCGCAAGTTGGGCGTCATGGCATGTCCTCGAAAGAGGTCAAGGAGCAGACTGGATGCCACTCCAATCTTGCGGCGCAGCCCCTCGTTGCTTGCTCCCCATAGGCAGAGGGCCATGTCATCCATCCAAACCGGGCCAAGGAAGCGCTGAGAAGTTGTTGCCTGGGACACCTCCAAATTGAAGAAAGCGGGCCCATCTTGAGTGGGAATTTCAGAAAGAACATCTGCTCTTACTAAGGCCTCCTCAAAAACCTTGAGCACTCTTGCGAGTAGAAATCCAAACGCCACATCAGCATATGCATCGCCTGGCCTGGTACCCATTGATGTGGACACAAAATCCTTCTGGTTGGGCAGCTGAAAGTGGGTGTTGGAGTGGAGCGCTTGGATAGCCCGCTGAGCCGAAGCCGGGAGACTTGCGCGCTCAAGGGCATGTGGTTCTTGCAAAAACGCCCGCCAATCATGTAGAACATCAGATTCCAAACCCAATCTCGAAGCAAGCTGAGCCAGCTCAAGGTCCGTGAAATCCCCAGGCATAGCCAGCTGTCTGAGGACTCGATAGAATGCTTCCTGTAGGTCCACAAACAGGATCGCAGTAGAGTGTCCTTGCTCCCGTTGCCAACGCAGAAATGCTCTTGTCTGGTGGGCTCCCAAGGTAACAGGAACTTTTTGCCGTCCTCCAAGTTGTTGAGCATGAAGGAAGGATTCATACATGCTGCGCTGATGGACCCTGAGTGTCCGATGGATCACTTTGCCAAGATTGGATGAAAGAAGGATTGAGCGAAATGCCTCACAAGTATCCTTGGCCAACTTCCCCTTCCATATGGGCACAACTGTGCCCCCTTTGTGGATCAGCGGTTCATGGCCATGGGTGACCAGCTTCAGCAAGAGGCCATACAGCAACTTGGCGGTCTCCTTGGGGTAGAATTTGCACACCTCTGACGGGATGCGATCTGGTCCATCCGCCTTGCCAGCCTTGACTCTTCTGCACGCAGCCTCCAGTTGGCATAGGCTAGGAATATCTGCAATCGTGATTTGGCATGTCGACATGCTCATGTCCTCCAAAGATTGCACCCAGGCATCATGCAATTCCTTCTGTGTCACACGTGTGCCTCCCTCCATGTCCGCAAAGAATTGAATCCATCGATTCAATACTGCCGGGGCAGACGCGCATGGAGCACCATTTTGGGAGCGCACCTCAGGCAGAGGTGCTAATCCTTGTCGTAGCTTGTTTGTGCTGCCCATGAAGCCTTTCATCTTGTGCTGGATCTCAGAGGCTGCCGTAGTTGCATCGAAAGAGGCTACAACTTCAGAAATCTTGAAGGCCTTGTCCCTTTCCAGATGCTTCTTCAAACCCCATGAAGTCATGCGAAAGCCTGCATAGTGTTTGAAGAGCCCGCATCTCAATGTGGAGCCATAGGCAAAGGAGGACTGACAAAGGTCTCCCTTTTCTCCTTTCCATGCATAGAAGATCCGGGCAATGGTTTCACGTGCCAAAAGAGCTTTCACTGTCTTCAGCTGCTTGCGATGGAAAAGCTTCTGCCGTCGCAGTTCCCACGCAAAAGAGCTAACATAATCCTTTTTTGGCTGAGAAGGGTCACGTCGGCATCCTGTTTGAAGTGTGGCATGAATATGCTTGGTCAGGTCATGGGTCTGTGTCTCCACATCAGTTGACCAGGACGCGACACGAAAGTTGCTCAGCATCTGGTTGAGATTGCCATCTTTGATTTTGTTTCTGTCATAACGCAGGCCACCATCATCTTGAGAGGCGTCACATTTCTGCACTGTGGTCCACCATGAAAGTTCAACACCTGTCGCAGTGTGATCTGTATTCAGGTTGGCCAAGTCAAAGTTTTCCAGAAGCTGCGAATATGAACAAGCCTGAAATTGTGCAGCTGGCACCATGACATAGTCAATGAGATGCGAGGTCGAACCATCCGGTCGGACCCACGTGTGTCTTGGACCACTGTGAATCTCACTCGTAGAGGGCAGGCACAAATCAAATGTGGACAAAAAAGTCTGAAGCAAAGGAGTGGATGTCGATGTAGAGAAGGTCTCCTCAAAAACATGACGTCCATCACCAGGACCAGGTGCTGCATTTGCGTCAGCACAGACATAAAGTTGATCAGTTTGTACTTGATGATCCACAAGAAGTTGATGTGTCGCTTCCCACCATTTTTCTCGTAGGCGTTGAGGTTGTCCACTTTGCGGTGCATGAAAAACCATGACCCAAAATTGATGTAGGCTCGCATCAATCTTCGTGATCAGCCTGGTGTCATCATTGTAGACAACGGCAAAGTCACTTTTGTGCAGGTATTGAGGTCTACCTTGAATGTATCCATACGGCTGCTTCAGGTTGCACCACAATTCAACCCCATGATGGCCTTTGTTGCTTCCTGAGCAAAGTCGGTAAACATGGTGTACCAGCGAAGCCCCTGCAGCACTTCTCGTCTCTTGCAAACCAAGGAAGTTGAGGCCTTGGCAAGTAAATTGCTCTCGAAGGTAGTTCACTTTACCCGCATGCCCGTCAGGGCGAGTGGAGAGAGACAAAACATTGGCCGTCGCAAAGCTGAGAGTCAAATGAATGTCAACAATTGCCGCCTGCTGTGAATTGTGACTGGGCACATGCTGAGCTGGTAAAGACGGTGCCGGAATGATCAGGCCCCGGTCACAATGTTCAGGCATGCCATACTGATACCCAAAAAGCATCCACAAATAAGGCAGCAAAGGACGCCAGAATTGAACATCGAGATCTCCTCGTGGAAGCATGAAACCAGCCTTGGCTTCACTTTTGGCCAAGTGATCTGCAAAGTCATTCCATGGGTCTGCGTTGTGTCCAAAAACGTGTTCAACCCGCAGACAATCTGCGGGAAGTGCCGCTTCCAAAAGTTGATGACATCCTCTGAGCAATTCGAACGTTTCATCATGTTGTTGGGCTCCCAGTGTGCCACGTGACTGCCCAATCGTCATGGCAGAGTCCGACCTGAACGTTGCCGGAATGCGGCTATTCAAGCCGATTCTCCAAAGAAAGGCCCATAGTAACGCTTCACGTTCAGCCACCCATGAACCTACAGACCGTGAACCAAGATGCCAAGGGCTATCAATGGAACATCTCACTTGATGCGCACACCATCCAATGAGGGCAAGACGACTGCCAGACTCCTCATACTGTTCACCTAGCACCACGAAAGACCAGGCATCAGGGATGTGGTGCTCTTCCACAAGCTCAGGTGCCAAACGCAAATGGGCTGAATGTGAGGAGCCATCAGTATAGATGATGAGCCGGTCATAATGCTCCAACGGTTGTAACAAGGTGATGGCTTCCGCCGTTGTGGCTGGTAAGTCCATGCCTTCTGTGATTGTGCAAAGATCAGAAAAGTTGGAGTGCTCAAAAAATGAAAGCAATTGCTCGCTGGTCGCTCCCAAATCCAAGAGACACTCCGGACTCTCTTGTGCCGCTGGAGGATCATACATCTTACCAGCTGCCCCAGTGGGTTGTCGAGATGGCCAGGAAGAAGGGCGTTGTGGCAACTGCGCTTTGTTTTCCATGGTGCCAATCGAGACTGTAAACTGCACTTCAGTCAAGTTGTGGCAATGCGGAATAGTTGCAAGAATTACAGCCTTCTCATGCCCCATCTGGTAGAGAAAACGCATCATACCAAGGTGATCATCCTTCTTCAGAGAGGAGTCTGAATGCAAATGGAAAACGGGATCAATCGAAGGCGCAAAGTCTTGCATTTCAATGAAGACAAAGTGGGAGTGTTCCCCTTGAGTTCTTGCCAAAGACCTGGGAAAACACATGGCCAAAGATCCCTCTCCAAGAAGCTCAATTGCACAGTCATGACCATAGCATTGCAGTTCCTGTTGAACCGATTCCGGCGTAATTGGCCTGCCAACTTCAATGAAGGTCGGCAGAGGGGGAATGTCATCATGGCCTCTGATCAGTCTCAAAGGATGTGCAGCAGGATGTCCTTCTGCGTGGAGAAGTGACTCCAGCTGCAGGACCTGGGGTGGCCCAGGGGTGTGAGCCACCTGCCCCTGTGTTAGGCGCTCACCCTCAATGACATCAGCGGGCCCTGATGAAGTAACTGCAGAAACTTGCAGGAGATTGGTAGCCTCTGGGCCTGGCCTGGTCCGCAAGTGGATATTGATGGTGATGCCATATCCACTGCGACCCGGTAGTGGGCGATGCAGTCGAAGTCTTTCATCAAAATACCAAGCTCTGCAGACTCTGGGAGAGTTGTCAGGTATACATGCCTGTGCATATCCCGTCACGTCCAAAAGGGTGTCAAGAAGGATGTGCTCCGGAGTGGTGATTGCCATTCGTTGAACTCTTCCATTTTGCCCACGCAACGTCCTGTCAATGACTGAGACCAGGCTCGTGACAAGTGCTTCATCTGCATGCTGAATAACAATGATGTGACCAGCCGCCTGACGCTCCAATCTCGGTGGAGTGGGGCTGACAATGTGATATTCAAGCGAAGGATTGCCCACAAGTTCATCCGCCCAAACTCGCCTGATCTGGGTTTCCCAAGCTGCAAAATCCGGACCAAGGCGTATGTCTCTTGGTCGTGTGTGACGAAAAGCTCCAGAGTGATCTACCATCCACGTGGTGAAAAGACAAGTTGGTGTTTCACCTTCCCAGCTGAATGACTCTTCAAGCCATATCCGGTGGAGGTCTTGTGTAAATTCATCCATTCCTTCAATCGGGATGTGGCCCGGAACAAATACGTGGGCATTCGGGTTGAAAACAAAGGGCTCCGGGCAATTGGTCCCTGGTGCAATCGGAGAGCTCGCAATCACTGGAGTGCTCCGGCTTCTTTGCATAAAGACAACATCATCAAAGTGATCAAAATGATCGGGTGCAGACCCGGGTTGATGTGGTCGTTGCTCCAGCCCCAGGGCAGAGGCCACTCTGATGCAAACGTTGAAACCATTGTGAAGCTCTGATTGCAAGATCAGATGAACAGGCAGCCCACCAGCAGTCACCGAGCATCTACGGAGATCACATTGTGGTTGCAGCTGCACTGCTTCAATGACAGCTGGCTTGTTCACTAAGTCAGGGAAAGAAGCAGCCGCTTGCATGATGGCATCACGATCAGGACCTTCCAGTATATAGTGTAGTAACAACTCCCGCAACCAAATGAGGTTGTGGATCTTGTACCAGAATGATGTGGCATGCAAATGATTGCCATCTTGGTTGGGGTGGCCTCGGTTTGACGACATGAATAGCGAAAGGCAAGCCTCTGTCCATAACATCACTCCAAGCATGTCGCAGCTCTTCAATCCATCCAATGATGGCGCCATCCAATCTCACTGAGCGAGGATATTGGCAGCGTTTGTGGCGACGGTGGTGGATGTACCATGTTTGCACATAAAGAAGAGGACTTCCTTCAATCGTTTCCGCTTCTGCCTCCTGTCGAAAAACTGCAACCAAATCTTCAAGCCAGTCAAAAGCACCATCATGAGATGGGCGAGGCCCACGCAGGCTCGTTCCTGGTGGGAGCATCATGGGAATGTCAATGTCCTCAGGAATATCTGCATCATCCTCATTGCACTTGCAAGTGACAAGTCTTGCTCCATCAACAGAACCGTCACCAAAAGCTCTACGGTTGCCATTAATGCTCCCATCCAAGATGGCAGTGGCAAGCTGACCAGCTTCCGGGAAGTCAAGGATATCGCCAGTTTCCTGAATCGTTCTGACAGCCAAGCCGATATCCCAATCCGGGTTTGGGGGCGGTGGCAGTTGAATCTGAAAAAAGGCTCCATGGTCAATTGGCAACAGTCGAGGATCACCCGGTGCCCAAAGTTGATCATTGAAACGAACTATGCATTGGTCCTGTCTCCAAGTGCAATAAGCATCCACATGCGTCAACGCCAAAAGGTGACTGCGAGCCATGAGATGTTGCACTTTGTAAACTTCCCTAACTGTGTTGGCTCTGTCAGGGACTCCACGCGACAAAGTGTTGGTGTGGAAGACAATGTCAATGATCACCAACTTTTCCAGGGATCCTGTCGCAATGTCATCAATGTGTTGCAAAATAATGGCTTCTTCCCCATCTTGCTGACCGGGCAGCCGCACTTGCACATACTGAAAACCGACGCAGGAATTTCTGGGAATGCGTGAAATCTGCACCGCATCACGAAGGGCAGTGTGGTAGGAGCTCCAGTCGAGGTGACCAAAAATCGCAAGATGCCCAAGACGATAAATGTGCACCGCTTGAGACCAGGTGCCAGCAGAAGACTGGGACCTGCTGTCTGAAGTTCTGTCATGTTGAAGGTCATGTTCTTGTGCTTCATCCTCATAATCCAATTGATTGTCTGCCTGCTGTCCATCATTTTGCATAGACCCAATTGGACGGCTCCGCTCGGCCTTGATGAGAAAAGAATCTCCATTTGTCATCTCGTGGACCGGGTCAAAGTTGAAGGGAATCAATTGGCGTCCATAGCTGATCCTGCAACCGCGCAAATGGCATTGTTGAATCTGATTGGCTTGTGCAGCAAGGTGTTGTCCACTGACATATCTGGGCAAAGAGGCTGCAAGTGCAAAATCAGCCCTGTCCATGAGGTCCTCTGCCCGAAGAACAGTGATCAAACCAGCCCAAGCTGGGAAATCCATGCCCTGTACCAAAATCAGATCAAAATAAAGCTCATAATGACCGTTGGCGCGTGGAGGATCAGGATGACAAACGAAGAAAGCAAGGCCTTCATCCGGTCTGACAAGGTCTGCCCAACCGGCAGCCAAATCTCTCGCCCAATTGCTCCAGTGACCGTCCAGTTCAAGAATCCTTGAAGTTAGACATTGACTATGATGCACATGGTGAATATACCAAGATCGCAAATGTATGGCATCTGCAAGACTGGGCCCATCCACTAGGCCATTGTTGAGGAACTCATTGTAGAGGTCTTGGATGGTGTCGGGAGCCTCATGCAAGAAGAATGGATTTTCATTTGGATCTTGTTCATGAGGTGGTCCATCTGATGTCGGCCAGCTCGATGGAACATCATGCCAAGCATCATTGATTCTTGATTGCATGACTGATGGAATTGCACCGTCAGTCATTCCAAGGACTGCCGCTGAGGTGTCCATTGTCCAAGTCTTTCTCGTAGTGTCGAATTGGACATCAAAGGCTGTCGATTGCAGCGATTCTTGTAAAAGGAGTGCAGAATCTCGCGCATCCCAAACACTGTGAAAATCAGGTTCATCGAAAACTGAATGGCAATAAGGAAAAGGATGTCTCTGACGATCACGAAGACAATCATCAGATTCCGACCAGAAATTGCAAAGGGAACAAGACTCAGCAGTGACAACTCCCTCAAAGTCAATGATGGGCCAAAAAGATACTTTGCAAAACCGGTCTTTCTTCCGCCCCGTGTCTCTTCTCCCAGATGTAACAAACTCTGGAAAGACCTCGCCAAGCGACGCTGGGAGACATGGGGCTAATTGGAATCCCGAACCTTTTTGTCTGCGGGTTCCACAACTTCGACATCTGGAGGATCTCCACTGCCATCGCCCTGATGTCCACGTGATCTTGAGCGCTCTCGCTTCTTGATCTTCTCCTCGATAGTGTTGCGAACCTGCTGCACCACACCATTGAGGTTCTCTTTGATCTGGGCAAAGCTTGTCTGCATCCCTGTGGAGTCGTTCTCGCCCACAGTCATAGTAGCATCCAAAGCTTCCTGAGCTGAATCTATGTCGTTCGATGCGAGGACATCTTGTCCCATCGTCCTCTGATGAGCGTCGTGAAGAGCTTCTCTTGTGGTTTGGAGATTGCGAAGCGCTTCTCCACGCCTTTCTGCAAACCGGGCCTCTCCTTGCTCGAACTCCTCCACATGTGACATCCACATTTGAGTGGCTTTGTCGAGACAATCTGCCCACTGTTGGCGATAAGATTCCCATTGTTCGTCGATCTCTGAGAGCTTCTTTCGCATGTTGTTCAACTGCGACACCAACTGACTGTGGGTCTTGGCGTCTACCTTTCGGACTGTCGCTTCTGTCGCAAGGACCACCTTCTTGATGTCCTCCGGCAAATTGGACTTGTTTTTGATTTCCTTGTACATGTGCCGCAGCGAATGCAGTTCCTGCTCGTCCTTGCTGATCGCAGGCTTGGGGAAAGGCTGCATTGAGGGCATTGATGCTGTTGGGGCATTCACTGAGGAAGCCTCCGTCGTTGAAGGCACCATAGAAGCTGGCAATGAGGGCGGTGTAAGCCATTGGGTGGAAGGAGGACCAGCAAAGCCCTTGTTGGAACCCTTGCCTTTTCCTTTGCTCACATCTCCCTTGGAACTTTGGTGCAACTGCTTTTGCACACGTTGCCTTGGGCTTTGAGCGCGTTTCCGTGGGGACTTGGCTCTTCCAGAAGCCCACGGACCTGCATCTTGCCATTGCTGGTCGTGCCATTCTTGCCAGCCTGCTGTATATGCACCTCCATGTTGATGTTGGGATTGCCTTGGCTGCTGATGCACATAGCTCGAATCGTTGCATTGTGACCAGTATCTCCAGCAACCTCCACATTGTCCCGATCTGCCCTTGACCAGGCGCATACAAAATCTGCATCTCCAAGGGTCCGGCTTGTCCATCTCTGCACGTAGACGGGCAATAAGACCTGGGTCCCGTGAATGATGTCCCCGTAGGGTAGCAATCAGCTGCTTGATCTTGTCCACCGTAAGCCGACGAAAGCCACGGCGGTGCAAATGCCAATCCAAGCGGGCCTTCGCCCGCAGTCGGCGTTGACGCCGCCGAAGTGCAGCTGTAATTCTGGGCGAAAGTCAAATGAGCAAGCGCCAGAAAAATCAAAAGAAGCATAAATTGAAGCAAATACCACCAGAGATCAGTGTGCAAGCCCCGCGCTTGCAGAGATCAATCCAATGTTATAGATGCCAAATAATGCTTTGATCTGGTTTTAGGCAGTGTACCAGATGAACCCGTCCCAAGGAAAAACCTTAGGGAAGATGACAAAGTCCCAAATGTTGAAGAGTAAGAACACGGACTTGTCCAAGTAGATGAGCAAGTAGGCAGCTGCGAAAAGTCCACAGCACCCGCGATCCACAGCCCACCAAAACCGCGAAAGGATCGCTAGGGTCACGGAACTGAGCAGTCGAGAGGGCACCCTGCTGTCAGCCGAAACCTTACGCATATATATATATATATGTACAGTTATTATATATATACAGTTATATGTATATACAGTTATATGTATATATAGTTATATATATAGTTATATATGTAGATAGTTATTATATATAGTTATAATATATATATAATATAACTATATAGTTTTATAGTTATATAAATAGTTATTTACATATTGTAGTTATATATATATATGTATATATATATATGTATATATATATATGTATATATATATAGTTATAATATATACATATATTATGTAGATATATTTTGGACATATGCTTGGGCCTCAGAATGTTTTCCATGCAGGTGCGCCCATACGCTTGTTTAGTTCACGATGGTTTGTGTCTGGTGTGCTGGTCATGCTTTTTTCATGGAGCAGAGTGAGTATGTTGGTATGGAATGAATGCCATGAAGGACATGGTTGCAATCGGCATGCAATGTTTGAAGACAATAAACATGTTTTTTCTTCATTCTTTCCGAGTTGGATATACATATATATATATATATATTTTAAAAAAATTGGACTTTCTTTTGAGGAACCTTCCATCATGGGACCCAAACTTGAGGGGTATAGACTCTTGACCCTCACACGATGAAGCAAAATATCAGGGTTTCAATAGTATCCAGAAGCCATTGCAAAAGGCATCGAGCATGCCACCCCTTGCTAGAGGAGGACAATGGTTGCAGTTTCGCAATGACCGTGCTTGATCTTGGACAAGTCTTATTTTCGCATGGCAAGATTGCATGCCGCAACAGGAAACTTAAAGCCTACGCAGTTTGGCTCCAAGAGGGTGATATCGTGTTGTTGTCAGTCTTTGCGAGAGGACACAGATTTCATTTATTCGTTTGTCTACATTGCGTCGCAAAGGTTAGGCATTCAACGCTTGCGAGAGCTTCCCATGCTGGTAGGGTCCCACAGTTTGAAGTTTTTTTCGCAGCTCAAGATCCATAGGAAACACGCACGATGCACTGCGCTGCTTGAAAGCGACCTCTGAAGTCAAGTCTACCAGCCGAAGACCTGGAGAACAGAGAGCCTTTGAGGCTTTTCCCAATGAAATTTATGTTGAGACTGTTGAGACGTCAATTTTCAGAAATAACATAATATAATACCTGTCTTGAAGAATGATGACAAAACCCCAAACCTTCACCTGCTCTGGTAATTGTTTCGACACTTTTGCGCCCTGCACGTTAACAAACCGTTGGGGTTCAATCCAGCAAGGATGATAATATCGATGATGATGGTGATGATGATGATGATGATGATCCTTGTGACAACAGGATCAACATGTGCCACACAGACATGCGCAGACTGACCCGCAAACACAAAAGCAGATAATTACAACTGCAGATTCGATTCTGATATATGGGTCCGAGGATCTTCTATATAGATACTCACCAATTTTCCACAGCTTTGTTGTGCAAAGTCAGACAACGGATCGTGCGGAACAACAAACACCTTGTGTGAAGAAATGTTCCTGCACAGACGCAGACACAGATGCACATTCATTTTCTCTTGTCTTGAACCCATTTCCGTCCAAACAGAAGTATTTTTTTCGCCAATCTTTTTTTTCCTTTCCCCTATGTGAGACTCCAACAGCGTTTGCAGATCTATGGTTCATGATGTTTTTTGTAGCTTGACCAACTGAAAGTATTGTCAAGTTCGTCTCGCACCAGCCTTTGATGCGTGAGCGTCGTAGCAGGCATGCACAATCCAGCTGCACGTGTCAGCTTCCATTCCCATGCATTTCACATGATATATGATACTGAAATTATGTGTTCCCTGTGATTTTGGTTGTAAGACCTTTCAAGACCTTTCAGGCCCTTCACTTACCAAAGTAGTACCAACTTGTCTGTACATATTGAATGCTTTAGGCAACCGGCCAGAGAAAGGGCTCGTCGGCGATAGAGGTCAGACTTGCATTGGACGGTAGTTGAGTCTATTTCCTTGGCAAATTTACTCATTTTCTTTTGGCTACCACCATGACTCCTTTGGCATTGCCATGCTTTCTTTGGTGGCAACTGAATGGTGTCTTTGCAGCCCAGCTCAGAACCTGCCATTTGCTTTGCGTGTGTTTTGTCCACCTTACCGCAAGGCTCTTCAATTTCACCCCAACTCAGAGCTGCTGCTGACAGCAGGTCGAGACAAAACGTTAGCGCCTCAGTGTTTGTCGAACCAATTGACAATCATATCCAAGAATCCAAGACATGCTCGAATGCACAGTTGCACATGTGGACAACACACGTGCATTACACATATGCACAATGTGTTTGCATGACACATGCTTCATGCATTAAGCATACGACTGTGCAAACGCATTTTGCACAGTTACTGTACATACGAATTACATGCACAGTACTCACCCCCCAAAAAGGGTCTACCATTTTCTGTTCAAGATGCTCAAAGGTAAAAGCTGTGGTTGAACGTATTTTGAAGCACACTTTGTGCTTATTCGATTTTGCAGTTCAAGAACTTTAAAGTATACAGTATATACACTTTGAAGTCTCAACTATAGGGACTTTCAAGTGGTCTAAAGTCTAAAGTTCCACTGCATTGAAGTGTCACCATATTTTCTGTGATCTTCAATCCTGCGCTTAGAGGCTTAGAGTGTTTGGAGCAACTCACAGATTTCAAATTATATACTGACTGAACTCAGCTGAACTCAGCTGGATAACTGAAGATTCCTCCAAAAAGCCTTTTCTGAATTTGTCAGCCATCCACTGCAACTTTTTATAAAGTACTTTGGAGTCGCGAGTTTTGCCAGAACATCTTGAAAAGAGGACTGACCATTTTCCAGCAATCTTCATTCTTTCTATAATCGTCAACCCACTGAACTTATTAGTGATTTGAAGGCGCGGACCTTCCGTAGAAAATCTTAAATGAAGATGTTTAAAATGAAACATGTGGCAACCATCAATCTTCAAACCATTTGGCATCTGAAGTAGATTGAAAGGAA